TGTGAAAACTTTAAGGATAAACTTAAAGCTGCTTTTAATAATTCAGTACTATTTGTAGAGAATAACCCTAATACTTATTATAATAGTTTTTTGAAACTTTCTCTTCAACATTTAACACCATTTTTACACCAAAAACGCTAGTGGTTAAGGGTAACGCCACATTTAGTGAATGGGCTACCCCTGGCTTACTCAAAAGTAGGAAAAGATTATACGAGCTATACGATGAGAGGAATTATAATAAAAGTGAACAGTTTCATAATTATGTTAAAGAATATTCTAAGCTGTTTAGGAAACTTTGTAAACTGGCTAAGTCTCGTTTTATTAGTTCAAAGATTAAAAGTAGTAATGATAAGATTAAAACCACTTGGAAAATTATTAATAGTGAAACTGGCAAAGATCAATACCGTGATAATGAATTTAATTTAAACATAAACAATAAATTTATCACATCAAATGCTGAGGTTGCTGCTGCATTTGAGAATTTTTTTACTAACATTCCTGTATCAACTACTAAATCTTTGAACTCCTCACCATACCTTGCAGAATCAATTTTAAAAGAGAATGTTAGAAGAATTGATAGTGAATTTAAGTTCCAATATGTGTCCCCCTTTGAAATTATTAAAGCCTTTAACACTATTAATGTTAAAAAAACAACCGACCTATGGGGAAATTCTGTTTTAATTACTAAGACAATTATATCTCTTGTGGCTAATCAATTGTCATTTACATTTAATCAATGTGTTGATAGTGGTGTATTTCCTGATCTTATGAAGTCTAGTAAAATTATTCCCTTATTCAAATCTGGTAGTACATCTGACCCAACTAACTTTAGACCTATCTCAGTACTACCAGTATTTAGTAAAATTTTTGAAAAAATTATGTATGATCAATTGCACATTTTTTTTTAATAATAATAATTTATTGCACAATAGACAATTTGGTTTTACAAGGGGTCGCTCCACAACTGATGCTAGTGTTGAGCTAGTAAAACATATATTTGATGCCTGGGAGGATGCCCACGATTCTCTAGGTATCTTTTGCGATTTATCTAAGGCTTTTGATTGTGTTGTTCATGAAACGCTGATCAGAAAATTACAGCACTATGGTATCAAAAATAAAGCCCTGGAACTACTTGCCTCATATCTATGTAATAGGATTCAAAAAGTTGATATTAATGGTGAGCGGTCTCCAGGCTCTGTGGTAGAAATGGGCGTTCCACAGGGTTCTATTCTCGGCCCTTTTTTGTTTTTAGTATATATTAACGACTTACCTCACTTTGTCAAAGACAATCTCGAGATTGTGTTGTTTGCAGATGATACATCACTATTATTTAGACAAAAACGGACACTTTCTGATTTCACATTTGTAAACAGCGCCATTTCGAAAGTGGTTCATTGGTTTGATGTCAACAATTTACTATTAAATGAACAAAAAACTAAGTGTATACGTTTCACTATGCCAAACGTCAAGCCAGTAAAAACTACTGTGATAATTAAGGATGTCGGGCTGGACCTTGTGGACACTACGACATTTTTAGGTATAACACTAGATGCTAAGCTACAGTGGGGCCCACATATTGATAAATTGTCGAGTAGACTCAGCTCAGCAGCATACGCAGTAAGGAAAATCCGAGAGTTGACTGATGTTGATACAGCACGACTTGTTTACTTCAGTTACTTTCATAGCATAATGTCGTACGGTATTCTGCTGTGGGGGAATGCTGCCGACATTCAAACTATTTTTGTGCTGCAAAAGAGAGCTATTCGAGCACTTTATAATTTAGGCAATCGTTGTTCATTGAGGCAGAAATTTAAAGAAATAAATATAATGACAGTGGCAAGTCAATATATTTATGAAAATGTAATATATGTTCACAAAAATAAAGATAGCTTTTTGAAAAAAAGTGATGTACATGCCATAAGTACCAGAAATAAAAATAAATTTGTTGTACCCGCCTCTAGGCTCCAAAAGATAAACAAGTCTTTTCGAGGTCAATGTGTCCGATTTTATAATAAAATCCCAAATAATATTCAGGAGTTGAGTATTAACAAATTTAAATCCGCAATAAAACGTGGCTTGTGCCAGAGGGCCTACTACTCGATTGTGGATTACATGGAGGACAAGAATGCTTGGGATTAATTAGCGCAGGCTATTTCTTTCTTAAGTAAAAATGTGGTGTGGCTAGTATGTTTTTTATTATTATTATTTTTTCTATTTTTTATGTTTCACTTCATTTTCTCTTGTATTCGTTTTTTCTTCTTAATCTTGTTTTCTCTTCGTTGTTTTTTCACCTTTAAGTCCTTAATAACGGACATACTAGCACACATCAAAACAATGTTGTGATATATTTAATAGTGCCATTGTATCTACTTGTGAATTGCAAAAGAGTGGCCATGAGTTTGTTTGCCCTTTCTTCTCATAAGGCTCAACCCCTTGGAAACGGGCGGTTGTAGATCGGCACAGGCATATCATAGATTTTGTAGGGGTTTGATTTTTGTTAAATTTATTTGGTTACTATTTGACAAAACAGAGATTGTTGCTTTTGTGTGTGTTGATCTATGACTTTAGAGTCTACATGGAAGACGATTTCAAACAATTTTGGAAATTTTATGAAATAAAGAAAGTTTGAGTTTGAGTTTGAGTTTGATCCCTTTTAGTGAACCACCACGCAGTCAGGTGAAAAATTGCCAATAAAGTAGGGATAAAAATTCAACCTTTCTGTTATTTTATGGAAGTATCTTATAATGACTCTCTGACTGGTGCGGTCGGCGGCGGCGGCAGCAGCGGCGCTTTGCGTGTCTCGACAAACGTGTACAGTACAACGGTACTGAATATAGAATATGCAAGTTTTTACAAGTAACAGTCACTGAGCTTCTAAAAATATTATCTGCCTACATTGATAGGTGAAGTTAAGCGAACATTTTAGTTCTTCACTATCGAAAGCAGATAAATTTTCGTGAACCACCGCTTACGAATTGTGAAAACCCAATTTTTTGTCACTCCAGTCCCAGTTGTGACTCCAGTCGAGTCTCCCGTGAACCCCTGGGGGTCCACCTGGACCACTCTGGGAAATACTGCGATAGATGGACAAAAAACTTTGAGGCGGTCGAAACTGCAATGTCTGTGAATTTGTTTTAAAAGCTGTGGCAACGTCTAAATCAAACTTAATTTCTTTATTATCAATTAAAAGTACCCTGATGACTTATAAGTGTACACACAGACAAGGGTTGAGGACATAACATACGCTATCGACAAAGTCAACAAGGACTTGGACTTTATAAAGAGCTGGTCAACGAGGTTTGGTGTGTCGGTAAATCCAACCAAATGTCAAGTGATCGTCGTATGGCGATAACAAATGATAAGTAGGTTGGATATGGCGGTCTTCCCACCAGTTGTCTACAGCAATGTGACTATACCTTATAGTGCAGTGGTAAAGAACCTGGGGTTATATATCGACTCGACACTTGACTGGCGGGCACAGGTTACACACGTCGGCCAGAAAGCCACCACATGTCTCCGTGCCTTATATCGATTGAAGAACTTCCTTGCCGCTAAAACTAAGGCTACGCTTATGCAGTCCTTAATTATTCCCGTAATCGACTATGGTGATGTTTGTTATTTCGACCTGAATGCAGACCTTCTCAATAAACTAGATCGCCTTCTCAATAACTGCATTCGATTCGTTTTCAATCTTCGCTAGTATGACCACGTGTCTGCTTTACGTTCCCAGCTGCAATGGCTCCCAATTTGTCAGCGCCACAGTTTACGAACACTGACTTCTCTCTTTTCTTTCCTCAACTCTCCATCGTTACCTGAATACCTTGTACCCCACTTCCGTTTCCTTTGCTCCAATCACGATCGAAATCTTCGATCAACCAACAATATGCTTCTTCTATGCCCCCATCACACCTCCAACTTCATCAACTCCTCCTTCTACGTCCAGTCAGTTCTTCTCTGGAATGCCCTCTCTGTCAAAATCAGGATGTCAAAAAATCGCCTTGCATTCAAGAGAAAAGTGCTCTAGTTCCCGACTGAGTATTTATATATTTTATTAAATTTATATGGGTTTATGTATGCATGTGTTTTTTTATATTGTGTATGTTTCTGGACCTAAATTATGTTAAATTTCATATTTTATTTTGCACCTACCGCATCATATTTCTACATCACCTGAAGGTTGACAGGGAGAGAATGCCTAATGGCATTAAGTCCGCCTTTGTACAATATGTGTATTAAGTTTAAAATAAAATAAATAAAAGGCTGTATTTTTTTTTTTCTTTGGCATTATTTATTTCCCAGGTCATTTTAATTTTATTAGAACTATTCCTAATTTTAGATTTTAAGTAATTAACCTTTGCGAGATGACATATTTATTGTGTAACATATTCACGAAATTCCATACTAGTGTTATACTTTCGTTCTTCATAAAGCTCATAAAGCCTTGTTCTACTTTTATATATTTCAGAATGGTCTCATTTCAATTTCATATAGATCTGATGATGACTTTCAAAAATAAAAATAATTTTTTCTTGCGTTTTGCAATTTTATGGTGCTTTTCAAGATCTTTTATAATACAATACTTTTACTTAAAATATTTATTGTTACCAATATTTGTTAATGAAACATTTTTACGAAAATTGAGAAGTAGCATCACACACTCGATGTCACCCGTGTAACTAACTTACTGAAAATTACCTTATTTTTTAGTCATTTTTCATAGTGGTCTCTTAGCTTTGTGGTGAAGAACAATATTGGGGTAATTTTTTTAATAAATATTATGTGGTCACACTCCATCTTCTTTTTGAGGCCACACTGGGCAGTCTACAGTTCTTTTTCTTTATCTGTGCTTCAGTCAGTGTCAAGTTAAGTAATTAAGCTACTGTCAAACTGTCAATCAATTTTGTTTGTGTTTGACCATAACATTGAACTCTGCTTAATTTCGTGTTCTTAACTCACTTCACCACTTCCCGTTACCACTTCATATCTAATTTTTATTCACTATGAGCCGCCGAAAGCGTGCAAGGGTATGTTCGCCCCTAGATAACGATTTTACATTTTCAATATAAATATTTGATTTGTTTTGATGTCTAGGTTATGTTTATTGATCGCAGATTGAGACCAAGGAGTTAGATGAAAAGTTGAAACAACAAGATGATTCTGAGTCTGATCAGTCAGAGAAGAGTAAGGTTACATCGTCAAGTCCGACTTCAGTTGGCGGCAGACGAGAGTCGTCATCAAGTCGTACCGTCGATGGTAAAGATGCTAAGAAAGACGATAAGGTTGAAATTGAGATTAAGAACGACGATGTTGAAGAGATTAATTATAAGGAAATGCTTAACAGGTATGTCCATATTTTAAGCAATCAAAAATGGTGTACTCACTGTTGTTAATTTATGAAACATACTTGATTGTCCTATTCAGATTTACTTAATATTATTTATTAAATATATCAATAGAGAATAGGGTCACACTTAAATCTCAAATTAATTAACTTTCAGCTTAGAAGGAGCTGCCTTCCAGTCCCGGTTGCCATTTGACAAGATGTCTTCTCTAGAGGCTGAGTGTTTCTCAGATCTTCAAGGTGCATCTAGTCATGCGTTTATACAAATCAGAAACCGCATTTTGAAGTTATGGTTTGAAGATCCAAAGAAACAACTAACTCAAGAGTATTCTGTTCAGAAAATGGAAGTAAGTAATTTACACACTGGTGTGGAGGTGTCATGTCCTTCCAACTCAAATGGAGGATCCTACTGCTAGGCTAGGTGATCTTGCTTGGCGGGCTGCGGCCCAACAGTTGATGTTGGGAAATTGTATATGCTAATATCTATAGAATTCTTAATATCACAATACAGGAATAGCAGTTACTCCGTAGTTTGGTGTGTCTTCCACAGATGGTGCTGCAGTATGTTTCTTGGTTTGAGTGTTTATAAATATTACGTCCCGTCTCTTAAAGTCTGCCTATCCCCATTCAGTTTACTTACTCCAATCTTTTTATTAGTTTAATTACATTCCCAAGGAGGCTTGATTCTAGGCAGGCAGCTGTCCACATAAGAAAAGAACCAAAATCATTTGCAATGTCTCATATTGCGTCAACCCCAAATAAATGATCCAATCAGTTTTTTTTTTCTTTTTTTTTTGATGGTATAAGGGGGCAAACCAGCAGACGTGTCGCCTGATGGTAAGCAAATACTGCCGCCTATGGACACCTGCAACTCAAAAGTCAGAAGTGCATTGCTGCTCTTGGATTCCCTCCCGCTCGAGTCAGGGGAGGGAAGAATTGGGCTCTGGTAACCTCACTCACTCAGTGAAAGGCAACGAAAGAATGGCTAAACACCGGTCTAAAGCTTTGTAAAACTATAGAAAGTATTTTTCATCCAAATGTAATAAGTATTTGTACAATTAAATTGTTAAACTTTCAGCCTCCCTATAATGGAGATCCTGCATTAGTTTTGAGAACTCATGCATTCTTAGAAAGACACGGTTTCATAAATTATGGTATCTACGAGCGTACTACTCCTATTCCAACACCATCTAAAGGAAAGCAAAGACCAAAAGTCATCATTATTGGAGCTGGTGAGTCCATTTTTTTTCATTAAAAAATTCAGAATGGCTAATAATAGTGCAATAATAGTTACAGCTGCAACATTGAAGATGTCAGTTTCGATTTATGCTCAGTATGCAAATATTTCTGTTTATTAATAGTCCCATTTACATTTTGACTTTAAACAACAAAGCATCTGAGTATGTGATGACATTATCTTATTCTCCGTCGGCATATTCTTGCACATGCAAAAAATAAGTATTTAAAAAACGAAATGATAATTTCAGGTGTATCGGGCCTTGCTGCAGCTCGCCAACTTCAGTCATTTGGCTGTGAAGTAGTGATATTAGAGGGAAGAGACAGAGTTGGAGGAAGGATTGTAACATATAGAAAAGGCCCTTATGTTGCTGACTTAGGTAAGGTTGTTGTGTGAAGTATGTTAATGAAATTGATTATATTTATATGAAATTTATTAATGAAATTTACATTGTCTGGATTATAATTTTTTGTAAAAGTAAAAATAAAATCTTTTCCTAGAAGCACAAGAAATCAAATCCTGTCTGAATTTTTATTAAGTTTAGAGTCTTATTTATTTATTTATAAAAAATAGTTTCACATGTAAATGTTACACTTTCAGTTAATACAATGTGTAACATTTTTTTTAATTAACTATTTTAATGTGCAACATTTTAACCAAAATTGGGTAATGTTAGTTCATAAAATCGGAAGTTGACAAAAAACATACAAAGATTCTAATACAAGAAAATGAAAAACAAGAATGTGCAAGACATGTTACATATGTGATGAAATTTTGTTATCTGTGGCTTGTGCAATACTAATTAATACAATAATATCTACTGTATTTTTCAGGTGCCATGGTGGTAACTGGTTTGGGTGGAAACCCTGTGACTACACTATCAGTTCAAATGAATATGGAATTGCACAAAATCAAGCAGAAGTGTCCCCTTTATGAAGCAACTGGTAATCAAGTACCAAAGCATAAAGATGAAATGGTGAGTGTAATTTGTATTAAAAATTAATTGTTGCTAGTATTTATTTTTATCTTCATATTGTGGAGTCACAATGTAAATTTACTGCCGCTATAAGGGTGTAATACCAAGGGCAAATGTTACAGCTTTTTATATGATTGTAAGTGTTAGTGTTGTGTTGTGTAGTTTAAGCAAATTAAAGGCTATTATTATTTATATTATTTTCAAACTTCTGTGTTGAGTCGTTTTCTAGATCTGGGCAATCCCAAAACGTTACCGCAGCTAAACCGTAAACAATTAAGAACCACAACACACAAATTTTGCTATTCACAAACAATTAATATGCAACAAAAGTTATCTATTCATATAATTGGTTCCAGTTTGAAATCACAGATAAAATAAACACAGAAAGAGATTTTTTTAAGCTAAAGAGAATAACGTACTCAAATAAGAACTTTGATCCTCTAATTTCAATCAAATTATTTTATGTTCTTTTTATTAAAAAAAAAAGCCTTGAACTCACAGTGACAGGTTAACATTTACTGGGCACACAACAATTTCCTTTTATTGACAGTATGCACTTCTTCTATGAAACTTTAATATATCCACATTAATACTCCAAATAACACGTCCCTGTGTTTAAAAAAAAACGTAAAAATAACTTCTTCACGTTATATTATAGATACTGGCCAGGTTGAAAGGATGTTTTAAATAATGATAATATTTGATGACTTATATTTTTCCAAAATCAAATTATTGTTTTATGATTGTTGGTTAAATAAATAGGTAAGATAATTTTGTTCTATTGTTTTCCCGCCCTTTTTGCACATACACCACAATAATAAAATGAATTGAGGCTACGTTTTTTATTTAATTTGGTCGCATTCGCTATAGGCAAAGAACTATTATATTATCTGTGCGGCGGTGTTATACGTAAGAACTATAAATTAATATATAAATAGAAATAAATAATATAAAATTATAATAAATTATTATTCTGTATCAAAAAAGAATGTGACGCGTTTTGGTACAATTGTCAATCTAGGTTACCCTTGAAATTGGAAGAAAATAGGAAAAATAATTATATTTACATTTACGCCCAGATATCTATTAATTAAATTTAAATTAATTTTAAATTATCCAAGGAAATGTTATTTTTTAAGCTAATTTTGCTTTTCAAATCTATATAATAATATGTGTATATATAATATGTCTTTATATATCTATATCTGTGCAAAAGTGCATGAAGTTAAATAAATAAATAAATATATCATTATACCCAATGATATATAAAGAATCATGATGTTTCACTAAAAGAAAGGAAGAAACCTCGACTTACTAGAAAAACACTTGCACATTCTTTAATAAATATACCTACCATGGCTGAGTTAATGTCAAAGGGTTCTCTACCAGTTGGTGTTTGGGTGACGTAGAAAAGAATTGGATATTTGTAGTTAGGTCTACTTATATTAACACACAACTTACTGAGGGCCATTGTGTCAATTTATAAACGTTAATTTAATATTTTAGAAGGTACTTTTAATTTCTAGACGTCGCATAATTTCAGAATTAATATCCTCTAGCCATTTTTATACGATGGTTCAAATTACTGTAATTGTTCCATATTTTACTGTTTAAATAATCATTGTTGTCATTTCATTCTGTTTAGGTTGAACGTGAATTCAACAGACTTCTGGACGCCACCTCTTATCTGTCACACCAGGTGGATTTTAACTACTACAATGACACTCCTGTTTCTCTTGGCCAAGCATTAGAATGGGTTATTAAACTGCAGCAGAAAAACGTGAAATATAAGCAGGTATTTTTTTATAAAGATTCTTTTGAATTTTATTTTCCTCATCATTACGTAATTTATTTATTTATATACTGTTGTATAGTCCGCTGATGTACACAAGCGCATATGTTTATGCGCTTGTGTACATCAGCGGACTTAATATCCTGAGCATTCTCTACCAGCCAGTCCTAGGGTGGTGTAGAAATCTGGTTTTAAACTACAGAGTTTCAACTAACATATACAATTATACACATACATATGCATACATAACATCATCATCAACAGCCTTTAATAGTCCACTGCTGGACATCTATACCACGATGGCCAGACGGGTTGGTATAGGGTAGCACGACTTTCATGGTCGGTAGTGACAGATGTTTCACCGCGGTCGCATCTTTCTGCGAAGACGTCATCTCGCAGAAGGAGGCGGCGGAGAGGGCCCGGGAGGACAACCTCCACTCGGACCCAATCCGTCGCCGTCGAACCGGGCGGCGGAGGCGCGCCTACCACCGGCTCATGCCGCCCTGAGTGTGGCCGCGGATGGACGGCACGGGTTTTCCCCTCCACCCGCTATAACAGCCAGCCGCGAGGAGGCGATGTCCGCGTGTGCCGGACGTCGCCTAAATGGAGATTTTACCCGAAGGTGGTGCCCGCGCCGCTGCGGGCAGGCGCTAGGAGGAGTCCGGATGTCTTAATAACAGCAGTTTCCGGATGCCTCCTATTACAGGCCCAGAGTGGCACACCGTGTGGTTTTAGTCGGTCCGATTCCGACACACCACCCCGCCGCTACATAGTTAATATCATCCAACAACATAGGATATATATATATATATATATATATATATATATAAATATGATAAATGTATGATCATGGTTTTGTCTTTTTTTAGATTCAACACCTAAAAGCTATTATAACATTGCAAGAAAGACTCAAATCTAATATAAACAAGTAAGTCCTCACGAAACAGTTACTAAGTGATATTTTTCAGTACACGCATTTAATATCCAAGTATGCATTTCAGAATGTCGGACGTAAAAGAACTCTTGAATTCAATGAAGGCTGAAAAAGATGCCTTGTTAGTAGAGAAAGACAAAGGATTGACAGGAGATGCAGGTGTTCTAAACGAGTTCAATTTGCGTCGCTTAAACAGAGAAATGAAATTGTTATGTAATGAGTATGAAGGCTTGGTAACTCATAATACAACAATTGAAGAAAAATTGGCGCAGTTGGAAACTAATCCGCCAAGGTAATATTTGTTTTTGTTTTGTTATTCATTTTAATAAAATTTGTCATCGAACTTTCAGCCAATACTGGCAATAGGGCCGGGTGACACTAGTCGCCGCGTACCATTCTAAGAAAACGCTTTCTGAATTAATAGAAGGGTTTAGTTAGACGGCATTTATGGTATATGACACATATTTTGGTGTCAATATCTAAGATCTTAAAATAAACAATATGATGGTAAACCTCTTTGTGACGACCTCGAAATGAGCTGTTTCCTCTCACTTAGGTACAGGGCTTGGGAATTGTTTGCATCACAGGTGTTGTAGAGGTCTTCTGATTAAAAAGAGACTTTTAATCGCAAGAGGTAATGGTAGGTCACTATGGAGGTGGTAATAAACGAAATTGCAAGAATTCAAAATGACCTTAGAAGCACCAATTTGTTTGGACAGCAAGGAGCTGAAAACTGCAAATTACCATGTAGAGCTATTTTCAGGTATTGCTAAGCCAAATGTTTATTATCATAGTGAACATAGTGAAATCATCATTCCAATTAATTTGCTTAAATGTGGTAATTGGCGGTGCTAAATAGGTACATTACAAAACACATCCAACACTGCCTTTAAACTCATAACATGAAAATCACTAATAATTTACATTACAACAATTACAGTATAATACAAATACAATAAAATACAAAATTACTGACTAATAACAGATTACGTAACTTATATTAACAATTAATTATACATTTATTGCGAAAGATCAATCATCAGACCAATTAATAACTCTATAATAATATTTGAATTAGTAATTTAAATATTTGTTTAGAGAGTAGAAACATTTGTCAACAAGCCATTTGAACATTTGTTTCTTGAAGTTTTTAATAGGTAAATGTCGAGCATCTTCGGGTAGGCGATTGTAGATGAGCACTGACATTGCATAACTATTCCGACTATATATTTTGGTTTTATTGGCGGAAGTACAGGATTAATTGGATATCGTGTATTGAATTTATAGAAATCTTTTTTAACAAAAATACATGTTTACTTTATGTAAAGACATGGTACAGTCAATAATAAAAGTTCAAGGAACAGAGGCTTACAAATTATCCAGCGTACCACGTTGCAAATTGCTCTAACACATTGCTTTTGAGCAATAAATGCTCTATTCTTTTTACCGAGTTGCCCCAAAGCACGATGCCATATCTGAGTTAAGATACCACAAATACCACAAGTGCTGTTTGTTTTTGGTAATCTTTGTTAGTCTTAACAAATCTATTATGATTATGACACATGCTGTCTATATGTGTTTTCCAATTACATGTATATCCAACGCTATACCAAGAAAAAAAAAGAGATAAAGTTTCACCATTATAATTTACATTTAGCTCAAGCTTTTTACATCCTCTGTTAACAAATTCTATATATTTATTTTTTGCAATATTGACACTTAAATTATTATGAGTTAACCAGTGGATTACTTTACCAGCAGTTTTATTAAGTAAATTACTGTAATTTGATAAACAAATGTCATTCGCGTAAAGGATAGTTTCATGATCTGTAATAGAGGAAAAAAAATTATATATAGAATAAAAAGAAGCGGTCTGAGTATAGTCCCCTGTGGCACACCTGCCTTATTGTATCTAGCGTTTGATTTAAAAGTCACTTCTTCATTTTTAGGGTTCCGTACATCAAAAGGTAAAAAGGGAACCCTTATAAGATCACTTTCTTGTCCGTCTGTCCGTGTGTCACAACCGATTTTCTCAGGAATGGGTAGACCTAGCAAGTTGAAATTTAAACCAGATACTGAGGTCTATGGTCCCTATTAGGTGTATAAAAATTAAGGTCCTGAGTCAACACGATAAAAAGATATGGGCAAATTTAGCGAAATTTGGCGAAAACTTGTAAGTACCAAAATTTACCTTAATTTTCAATTTTTTTTTATTTCAGAATTCTCTCTTTACTTGTGCTGTAAGACCTTGCTTTTAACCAAAATTGACAATTCTAGGTCAACCGGAAGTACCCTATAGGTTTTGGGTCGAAAACCTATATGGTAGTTCCCGTTGACCTAGAATCACGAAATTTGGCAAAAAGAAACGTCTTACAGCACAAATAAAGGAATAATTCCAAAAAATTTAAAAACTTGAAAATTAAGATAAATTTTGGTACTTACAAATTTTCGCGAAAATCTGTGTAAAATCTGGGTAGGTACGGAACCCTCGGCGCACGAGTTCGGCTCGTACCTTACCGGTTTTTTTAATAACAGTTCGTGACTTCCACGAGAAAGCTTTTTAGGCAGTCTTCTGCCGGACCACGTATATCACACTTCTGTAAATGTAATTCGTGTTTTACAAAATCAAACGCCTTACTCATATCGAAAAAAATGCTGTTTTATGTTTTTTGCATTTATACTTTTTATTATATCATTAATCAGTTTAAATGTTGCTAGTTTAGTAGATTTTCGTTTTTAAAAATCCGTGATGTTCTGGACAGATAATATGAAATTTATTTAAAAAATACATTAGTCTGTTGTATATATTTTTTTTAAATATCAAAATATTATCATTTTGTGGTAGGTACTTTTCGGTATAAATTTAATAAAAATCTTTATCTAATTAATGAAAATATGCACCTTTTATATCATATTTAAATCGGTTAAATGTCTGTTGAAAATATAAAAGAATATGGTACTCAATAAAAAAATGATTTTTAATACGGTAGATTGTTGAGGAAGGTTGATCGACTGTATAGTCAAATCAGTACCTTATTAGTAAACGTCAGAATGATGTGTTCGTTACATTTTAAAAGAAAACCGTGATTACAACAGGACGATAGTTTCAAGTTACTTTTTGCCTGATTTGGAAATGGCTAATTTTGAGAGTAGGCAATTACACAATTATACGTAGTATACTTTACATGTTTGAAGGTCGTATCGTAAAGTACATCTCGTAAATAACTTGAAGCTCTAATAATTTCAAGCAAATTTGTGATTCAAAGTTACGAACTATAGATAATTTTTTTCCATTTCTTTCCAGGTTTTTTTTTCCTGCAATTAATGTCTGTAAAACTAATCTAGTAGGCCAACCCCTCCTTTCTAAGGAGAGGCCCATGTCCAGCAGTGGACTGTTAAGGGCTGTTGATGATGATGATGATGATGATGAAAACTAATCTACGTCGGCTGGCCCTGTGTAAAGAAGTACCTCAGATTATATCTTTAACTATGCAACCTGCTTACTGTTATCTAATATTATGTACCATTATATAATATACTAGCTGGTGCCCGCGACTTCGTTCCCGTGGAATTTGTAAAGCGCTGCCTTAGTGGGTTCGATTCCCGGACCTGGCAAAATTTTATAGGGTTTTTCTGAGAGAAAAAATAGCCTATGTTACTCCTATTATACACAGCTACCTGCTAGTAAAATATTATCAAAATCGGTCACGCCGTTTTGAAGATTACCCGGAAGAAACAGACAGACAGACAAAACATATTTAAACTGGTTTTGCAGCATGCGTGACAATAACCGTGAGCATGAAAAAAAACTATTATTTTGACATTACAAACAGAAACTTCAATTTTATTTATTTGTATAGATTAACAGTATGGTTCGGCGACAGACGGACCATGGAGCAACATTTTTCGATACTGTGACCCTTAAACAGAAAGAACCGTATTTTTTCAGTTTAGTATTTTGACAAAATTAATTTTATGAAAATCACAACTGTTTGTTTTAGTTCCGTGTACTTGTCGGTGCGGGATAGACAAATTCTCGACTGGCACTTCGCTAATTTGGAGTTCGCGAATGCGACGCCGCTGGGCAACCTGTCGTTGAAGCACTGGGACCAAGACGATGACTTCGAGTTTACTGGGAACCATTTAACAGGTATGTTTTTTAAAACAAGGTGTTCATTGTTATGGATACATTTATATGTTTAGAATATTAACTAGTGATTATCTAGATTGGCGCTCCCTGGCGGAGGCCTTCGTTCAGCACTGGACGGTGATAGGCTGATGGTATTTATCTAGATTTTTCTTTGGAATAAATCCTGCGTCGCGGGCGACTTTACAAACATACATGAAACGGACACAAAGAACACCCAGACTCAGAACAATAATTTGTGGATCACACAAAGTGTCGTCCCATGTGGGGTTTGAACCCACAACAGTCGGCGTAGTAGGAAGCGGCGTGGCGACCGCTTAAACCACTACGCCATCCGTGCAGTCAAGTGCGCAAATTTCTATTATTATTATGGGGTGATGATAGAAAAAAAACACATTTTCGTTATTGATTACATTAACGCTCACTTTGATATACATATGAGAAAAACAAGTATTATTGTCATTTATTTGAATAAGAAGAAGTCACAGGTTGGTGGTGGTTCGTGATGCAGAAATCTTGATTAGAAATAAGATGATTTCTTTCTTATTATATATTCTTTAAAAAAACATTTGTATGTATATTTTAGATTGATAGATAATACTTTATTTTCAAATTCAAATTCAAATAGTTTATTTCAGACATAGTCCATAGGGTTAGTGTGTACTAAATAACTTAAGGACTAATGTTAGTTATACACAATCAATTATTATGGTGAATAGAGGGGAGTCCCGGCCACTGATCCGTAAACACCTTCAGGACACTGTTAGTAGCACGGATGCGGTCCTCTTTCTTAAAATTGCGTAAAGGCCATGTGTGCGCCTCCGCAAACATACCGGACGCACTACAACGCCACGATAGCCCCAACAGCATCCTGAACGCGTTTTTATATTGGACGCGCAGGTCGCTGTATGTCCTCTGCGTAAAACCAAAGACTGCACGTGTAAAAGTACTGGCTGAATGCTTTAAAAAGCGTAAAGCGTACTGATAAGCCGGTTAATGTGTAAGTTAAAGAGACGGGGCGAACTCAACCCCCCCCCCCCCCTGTCTCACCCCGCACTCCAACCCATACACATCTGATTGAACTGCCGCCCATCTGACACTATTTGTCTGGTTGTAGTACCAGTAACGAAACAAGGACGTAATTTCATTCGATAGTATCGTATCCCTCCGCAATCTATCCTTGACGGGCCAAAAAAACGGGCAAAAACAGGTGTCTTTCTGGAGGTATAATATTGAACAGTTTGCTTGAGGCACAGAATGCCACTCGCAGTAGATACTGGTCTATCTACTGCGAGTTTGAAACCAAGCTGCGCATCATGGAGTTCAATATGTTTAGCCAACTGTTGATCATGCAAACTGTCCAAGACCTTGACGATTATCGTGGCCAACGAAATAGACATATAATTGGACACTTCAGAGGCATCCCCCGTCCTGTCCTTATTGACTGGTAGGACCACAGTGCGCATGAAGCCCTCCGGCAGATAACGGTGACTGAGACATAAATTAAAAAGCAAAGCAAAAACCCTACACAGATATGTCCCAGCGTGCTTTAGGTGACTTACCTCTTGTCATATTCTCAACAACAGTGGCAACCTGTTTAGCTGAAAACATTACGGCAAGCATTAATTGTACACCAGGGTAATACGTCGGGGTGCCTGGGCTTTCCTTCCTAGGCTAAACCTGGTTCCCCGGCTACTGGTACCTGGAGACGGCTTGCGGTTTTTGGTCGGTTCGAGACCGACATAATCACCCACTGGTGGGTGGTATTCGAGGGGAGTTCCGCAAAGCAAAAAGGCTTTTACAGACAATATCAAGTATTAAACATACAGCAAAACTAATGTACAAAGGCTGGCCTTATCGCTATTTCTGCCAGGCGACCTTTGGATGGACTGGATTCATTTTAAACTTGTGGTAGAAATACAAGATTTTAACCTAAGAATAATAACTAGGAATATATAAATTTTACTAATTCATGTATACATTAAAATACTATACATAAATAAATTTAAATTTACGTAAAATATACTAATTTCAGGCTCAAGGACTTGACAATTAAAAGGAAAAAATAGATAGGTAGGTTTTTATGATTGGTATTTCGTTTAATAGTGATATTATTTTCAATTTATAATCTATTAATTATATATTGCTTGTAAGAAGCAAGCTTTGTTTTGTGTGTTATTCATATTATAATAAAAATGAATTTCGATAACTGTTTATTCAGCAAAAATCAGTGATATTCATTCTCTAGGAAACTATCAATCATAAAGGCAATCGTAACGACAAAATTACTTGATAAATTCTCTGTCGGTTCTGTAGCTAATCACCTTTGTATTCGAAGCTTCAGGAATCTGGCTTTCGATGGCAATAAGTTCAATTAGCCGATGCCGCGGCACTCGTTAGCGTTTTCCGAACGTTTCCGTCCAATCCAGCACGATCGATGCGCCATTGTACCACACACAAAAGATGCTACCGAATAGCAAGATCAGTCCCTATAAGGATTCTTTTACCTCCGTGTGTTATTTGTTTCCACTTAAGTCTTGCTACTTGAACAACGGTAAATATACTCTTATATGGTCTTTATCTAAATGTTATTTACTTTGCTAGTAAATAAACTAGTACATTAAGGGAAAATAAAGCAATTTGCTCATTATTTTGTTTAAAGAGTTCAGCAAATGGCGAAGGAATTTCGAGTTAGTTTTCATTTTATTCATACTGTAATTTCACTGTGAACATTAACTGCCCGCAAGTGTAGTTGTGCAGTAACTCCGTGCCCACGGGCGTACTCCGTTATGTGGAATTTTCGAATTAGTGGCCAGTTGTGATCTTTAGCAGTCGACGGTGGACTTTGCCCGAAGCATCGGTTCGTGTCAATAATTACTATCATTTCTTGGCCCAAGTTTCCATCTCCTACATCAGATAAATTACCAACTGACTTCTGTAAATGGTTATAATAAACGTGCAGGACGTTACTTGGCATACATGCACAGCAAAATTGTTTATTTAAGCTGATTATTCACGTGTGTTTGACAATATAACAGTTCTCTTTTGTTATAATTATGTATTATTTGTAATGTATTTTTTATGAATTTTATTTGAAAATAATGTTTAACTTACAACTTTAAATAGGGTATAACGTGTATGCAACAGGATCTTGAATATGGCAGATGTAATCTTTGTAATGATTCTGAACCTTCACTGTTTGTCAAGTTCGTGTTCTCATGCATAAGTTTATTGATGCTTCAAATGTAAAAACCATATTTTTTCTCATTTATATATGTAACTGGTCAGCCATATTATTATATCACGCACGCTTCTCGAGAGCAGGTTTGCTCGGCTCGAAGTAAACAGGAAGCCATAAATGGTATACTGGAGCTGCTAGTCTAAAATTATCACATCGTCTAAAAACGACAGGACGGAGTTATTATTGCGTTTAATTCGGATACAATAATTTATTAGAACTTCAATAAGTTTTAGTAGTAGTGAATGTCTAAGATCCTTCAGTACTGTTTTATTCCTTATTATTAACGTCGTGCATTGTTCTAATATGTTCCTCTATTAATTTAAAACCAGATATCGTAAAAAACTTTTTATTTAAGGCAGTTTTAACCATTCAATGAATCTATGTTTAAGTTTATTGTCGTGTTAGCTGGCATTATCTAAACAACATTTTGTATTTGTTCATATTTCAATTATGTATGTCGATTACACGAAAACAAAAAAAGAGGGCAGGAGTGAGACGATTGCGTCTGTTGTTCAGTCAGAGATATGTATCGAGACATCACCTAGACGCCTCTTTTGTAAGTTGGCTGTGCGTGTGTTGTCGGCCATATTTCTCGCTGTTCGTTCGCTCCGGTGTTCGCAGCGTGGGTAGTTGAAAAATGACATCTTGATTGTTGTGCGTTATTCTACTCATGAGAATGCTGACTCGAAGTGGTCGCGTGCATTGTCAAGCTTCTCGGTTCCGAGCCCTACAAATTGTACGATTGTTAACGTTCTTTGGAAACGTTTGCCTTCTTATCGTGACTTGTCACGGCATTATTACATGTCTTAGATAACATAATTATTATGTGTGCCGTAAAACTGAAATGCAATATTTATGAAATAGATAACGATGCGCTTCCTATACCGAATACCATAAATCTAAAAAAAAAAGGAAAATATTAATTCATGCATTTTCATGAATTAATATTTTCCTTGCCCACAACTCCTACTGTAGCAGTTAATCGTTAACACTGGTTATAAAAATAGCGATAAAGCTGCAAGTGCAATATAGAAACTCAAATTTGTTGGTTAGCCACATGATTTTATTTTAAAAAGAGCTTTTCATCCACTTTTCAATTTGTCTTGTAAACCTAGATGAATACCAAGTCTCGCTTTGACAGGAAACACTGAAACAATTTCAAGATTCCATGTATTTCTGAATATCCTAGCTCAAGGGATGCAGGTATCATGTAGTCGTCTGGGGTGGCCTTTATATGTAAGAACAATTTCAGTTTAGAATTGACTGACAGTAACCTGACTGACTGACAGAAATCTAGATAAATCGGTAATCACGGAACTAAGCCATGGCTGAGGCAGCTTTGCAAACCCAATCCGGTCCGGTCCAGACAGAAGCCTTTTAATAGCTGGCTTAATCTATACACACAACTGGAATTGTCAGGGTGCTTTTTAGGGTTCCGTACCCAAAAGGTAAAACGGGAACCTATTACTAAGACTCCGCTGTCCGTCCGTCTGTATGTCTGTCACCAGGCTGTATCTCATGAACCGTGATAGTAAGACAGTTGAAATTTTCACAGATTATGTATTTCTATTGCCGCTATAACAACAAATACTAAAAACAGAATAAAATAAATATTTAATTTTATAGATAATGGTATGGTAATGGTCTCTTCGTGCGAGAGTCCGACTCGCACTTGGCTGGTTTTTTAGGATATATCAGTTTTATAACCAAAAAATACTTGTTCTATTTACAAAAATTTCCTCTATGGTCTGCTCACTATCATATAGTAACGCTTATCGTGCTTAAGATTTCATAACTTATATTTATACATATGTCTAGCAGTCGAGAGGTCTATGTCTAGCAGTGGACTATTATAGGCTGTTGATGATGATTGATGTACGTTTTATAATGAAATGGCTATTATTAATAGAAATTGTATACTAAGTCATCTATACCTACTTATAAATTCAAAATAATTTGCTGTTCGTTACTCTTTCTAAACCTTCAGAACAGCTTCACCGCTTTGGCTGATTTTGGTCCCAAAATATTTGTGGAAGTGCAGGGAAAGTTTCATAATGAGATAATAGAATAGTAAAAACAACTATTTTATTTTCCCATACAAATTATTCCTACGTGTCAAACATTTGATGTTCGTCCTGTTCGTTCGCTTGTCGCGGATTTTTTTATTGTATGTGTTTCATCTCTAATTTGAACATAATATTATATAATGCCACGGAAACTTATTCTTGATTCTTTACTATCTGATTCTATATACATTTGTGAACCATGGTCACAACCTGAGCAAAGCAAAGAAAGCCCCAAGTATAGGTTGGTTTACTGGCTCAAACTTTGAACCAGTGTAAACACAGAATAACAAGAATGTGATGTTTATCTTCGAAGTTTAGGTTGTTGCCTCGAATTTGGTCACGTAAGAGCAAAGTGTCCCAACGAGACCGACCGTGGCACGCAGTGCTACGCGTGCAGTGGTATAGGCCATGTGGCGCTCACATGTACCGCAAAAGTGCCGAAATGCCCGGTCTGCTCAGACCTGAAGGTCTGAGCATCGAGCATGACCAAGGTCTGAGCATGACCATCGGTTGGGGAGCAAGAAATGCTCCCCGCCGAAGAAAATGAAAAGGGGGCTAAAGACGGCCCTCGCCCCAGCCTTGGCGAGCACTGACGGTAGCCAGAACTCGCCGGCCGCAAGACAGTTCCAGCCGGATACCCATTCAGCAGAGGAGGCAATGGAGGCCTAAAATTCGCGCGTCTCCAGAAAGTTTTGCAGGGCAACCTAAATCACTGCCGTGCAGCCCAAAATCTGCTGATGCAGACACTCGCTGAGTGGTCGGTTGCCCTAGCGGTAGTGGCGGAGCCATACTCCGTCCCAGATCACCCTCGGTGGTTTGGGTCGGATGACGGTCCTGCGCCATATTTTGGGCAGGGGTAGAAAATGGCCTCCACTGTACCCTCCTTCACCGAGGGCTGTGGATTGTGGCAGTTGAATGGTGCCAAATGGTCATTGTGGGCTGCTACATATCGCCGAATTGCGACCTACCCGTATTCGAGGCGTACTTGGACAGACTGAGGAGTTGCATTTGCACTTACCTTTCCCGTCCAGTATTTGTCTTGGGCGATTTCAATGCCCGCTCTATACAGTGGGGAGATCGCCTGGAGAACGTAAGAGGTGATTCACTCATTGAGTGGGCGGCGGGACTGAACCTCGGCTGTGAACCGGGGTTCAGTCAGCACCTGCGTGCGGTTGCAGGGAGAGTCGATCGTCGACCTGACGTAGGCGACTCCCTCGGTCATCGACCAAGTGTCAGTACGGAGGGTGGCGGAGGAGGTGGTCACTTTGTCGGACCATCGCCACATCGTTTTCGATGTGACCATCCGCCGCCCAGACGCAGGTCCCGACCTTCGTAGCAGCTGCCCTCCGCGACGATGGGCCCTCAAGCGGATGAACAGAGATATGCTCGTCGCTGCAGCCATCGTCGCGGATTGGCCAGAGGAAGAGGAAGAACGGGTCTCGTCCGATCCGGAAGCTCAGGCGGCCTGGTTCTGTGGCGTCATGACTGACGTCTGTGATGCGTCGATGCCACGGATCAGGCCGAGGGTAGCAGGGGTTCTGTTTACTGGTGGACGCCGGAACTCGAGCAGCTTCGCACAGCGTGCTCGAGAGCCTGTCGCCGGTTTCAGGGAACCCGAAGAAGACGGCGTGCCACAGCCGAGGAGATCACCGAAGTGAGGCGGGTGTTCGGGGCTGCCGCGAAGGCTGTTAGCCTTGCGATCGTGGAAATCGCCGTCTCTACTGTGCGGTGATACGATCCAT